GCCACTGACAATGCTCAAATGCATTTGTCCTCTGGTTTCATCATCCCCAACACGTGTCTGAGTTGTCTTCTTCTGCAGGAGAGCAATTGAGAGCTGCACTGAAGGAAGGTAAGGAGGCTTTCTAAAACTCTGTCCTATTATTAGTCCTTCCCTGGCCCAACATAAATCAGAGCAGGAGCTTCTGCCTTTCTGGCTGGACACGGACACATCCCCACCCTCACCAGTTTTCCAAGAGGCAGGATAAAGGCCAGGGACGGACTAAAGAGCTGAGGATCCAGTCCTTGCCCTGGGACCACAAGGCAGGCTGCTTTTAGCATGAATCAGTGTGTGCTAGGTCCTTCCTCTGCCTCTGGAATACACACGAGTTTATTTAAGTCTTTCCCCGACACCAGCAGAGTGGACATATCTATAATGAAATGAGATGCAAAGAGAACTAAGTAAAGTTGATTATTTTTTCTGACATTGATGTACAACATATGGCAAGTTTCAGTGAGCAATTAATTGTGTACTTTTTATATTAACAGACACTGTGACACCGGCAATTGTAATATTCTAGGTTGGTGAATACATTAGAAAAGTCAGGCTTATGTGGCTTTAGCCAGAGTACACAATAGATCACAGATTTTGTTTTAATTTTCTCTCGTAGTTTTCAAAGCTTTTATCACTCTAACAGGACCAAAACAATGATTTTTGAGAGTGAGAGAAAAAGGAGAATTTTGCCAAGCCTTGAGCTCATGCTCAGGGCACACTACAGTTCATACAACGTAAAAAAAATCTAAAAATTACAATTTTTCTCTTGGATTATTTTCTGCATTACAATAGAAGCAGTGAAGCATAATTTGGGAAAGGAACTGTTTCAGAGCTCTGGCTGATCTGGAGGCTGGTAGTTCCTTTTCAAACCAGTTGGGCTGCATTCCAGCTGGTCTGAATGAGGCCCCCCTCACCCCCTGCGAGGATAATATCCTTGAAACTTAATCAAAAAATCTGTGTCTAGAAAGGAAGACTAAGGATGAGAATGAGCTTACTCCAGTTCCTCTTGACTTCTAAAGGTTTTCTTCTTATTTTGAGAAAAGTATTCTTGCGTCAGCATCATCTCTTTTCCCCTCTCAATCCCCGAAAATTGTCTTGTCCCTGTAAATGTTGTCAAATCTTTTCTCATAAAATAGACACCTTGCCAGCAACATCTCCCGGGTCTGGTGGAGGTTTACTCCATACTCACAGCTTACTACAGAGACCAGCTTTATGGTTTCAGATGCAGAACAAAAGGCACAAATAGGTCCTGCGTGGTGGTTGTACCGCTAATAAAGAACCATGATTAATAACCGAGATAGCAAAAACATCCAACAGAGAGACCAAGTCAACATCCCAAGAGACAGCGTAGAGTTCACAGCTGGACAGAGATTCTCAGTGGTTGGCAATGTCTGATTCTGCCCACGAGGAACAAGCGTGTGGCCAGATCCTGAGAGCTCCCGAAGACTCACGGTTCTTGGGCAAGTCACTGCACGCTGGGGACCCTCAGCATCTTTCAAAAATCCATTTGCTTGCGTGAGGACTTTAGTTGAGTGCCAAAATGGGGCTTGGTGCTTAGCTTTTGGCAGCCCATGTTCAAAACAGTGGTCTTTGTAAAAGCATTGGTGAAAAAAGACACCAAATGAGAGCCTTGTGGGAGCCCCTTATTTTTCAGAAAACCTCTTTTGCTCCACATGTAATAATTTTAGCTTCAAGAGAAGGTGTTTTAAATGAGACAAAAATGGATTTGTTCATATAAACTAGAGGTCTTAGCACTTTGGGAAAAACATAACCATTTCATGTTAATGACAGTGCTGGAGTTGCTCGTTTATGCAACTCTAGAGCCACATATGGGTGCAACCAGATGCACCAGTCTTTACAGCAGCAATTTCTAGATGCAGTGGCAGAAGCAAATAGCTGTGACATTACTTGCTCGGCAACTTGAAACTGTCAATTTGATACCATTCTGTATGTGTGTACTATCACTTCTGCTGATACTCAGTTTTGTCTATAGGTGGCAGTGACCTTTCATTTTTTCTTTAAAAAAGGGCAAAAGCATACATACACATACATCTTCCTAATTTTACTGAAGGATCTGGGCCAGGACTGTGAGGCTGTGCTGTTGACTGAGCTCTGTACCCAGAGGAATGGCCACAGACTTCACACCTTTCTTCGGTAGCCACTTTACCCCAGAGCACACCAAACATGCAGCTGTAATACCGCTCATGCAACGCAAAACTCAATGCAATGCAATAATCAATTACTGTTGCAAGGAGGGAAAAAATCTGAAGAGTTATTATATATATGAATGGAGGAGGACTGTGTTTGGTGTTTTGGGATCATATTCTGAGAGGGTTACGTAGCAAGTTTGTATCATTTTTAGCAAAAATAGCCTCCAAGTCCTATCCAGCTTTCTATGAGAGAGAGAGGGTTCTGGTGAGTGAAGATCCTTAAAAATTCCACATGACCACTGTGTGTGTTTTATTTCAGTGAGAATTATAAACTTGATTGTCAAAAATGGGTAATGTCTCCTAGAGTAAAATATGCCAGAGATCAGAGCCTGTGATCTCTGCTCTGTATCAGTTAAAGATAACTTACTTGACATGAGTAGATCTGCATCAACTGGAAACTGGAGTAACTGAGAATCAAGCTAGAAATCATTGTCAAAATAAAATAAAAAAAAAAAAAAGGAATTTGCTTCTCTCGCTCCCTGCAGATATGTACTGATTTTACAGCACATGTGAAAAAGGAAGCATGTAACCTGCAAATATTCCATCTTCTGCTTAAGTTGTCTCCTGGCATAAACCAGACGGCCTTGTGAATGGAAAACAAAAGTAAATCCTCCAGATTTAACCAGATACTAAATTTACCAACAAGACTAAGCAGTAGGATTTGAATCTTGTTTTCTTCTTTTCCGATAGGATAATACTTAAAGTTGCTAGGAAACAGAATTACATAGCAAGGACAAGAGGCCATTGTACATCCATGGGGAAATGTTGGCTGTTTTCCACCATAAATCAGAAGTTCTGATTTATAGTGGAAATATCAGCTAAGAAGATAAAACCCTGTAAAATAACTCTGCACTCTGAAATCAAGGTTCAGTCCTACAGCCACTATTTATGCAGTGATTCTCAGCAGTGCACGACTGCAGTTCATGTTTCAGCATCAGCGGGGGCCGTTCAGTGTCCAGCGCGGCACTAGGCACTTAGCAGAGAACAGTAACCATCTCTGGAGAGAGGCCTGGCTTGGATTTCACATCAGCTAGGATGCAGCATAAAATAGAAACCAGATCTGGACCATCCCTGTAAAGAAAAGCTTTGTAGATTGGGGTTAGCAAAAACCCACCAGCAGCTTGAGCTCTGTAAACAGTAACTGGAAGCAGACACTTGGGGCTGTGGGCTGAAAGGAGAGCTGCCCCCAGTCCTCACATTCAAATTCTAGTGAACGTGATTTAGCAAAACTACTCTTTTCCTTCTTTTCTCCAATAGCTAAGGGCTGTTTAATTAAAACACTAAAGAAGTTGCTGTCATCCATACCTCTGCAGCTCCAGTGATTCACACAGGTGTAAACCAGAGCAGTAATAAAACAGAAGGGTACTTGGTACCCATGGTGGCTGTGCAGGACATCCAACAGGATGAGCACCAAGGCTGGAGCTGGCTCCAGCCCTCTGCCTTCCTCTCTTTGGAGACCTTCCTCTTTCAAGGTGTGGCTCAGAATAGTTTCTCCTTATTGTTTATTTGTGTAGCTTTAACAGTATATATACATCTATATCCTAAGCCAAAGTCAATAGGAACCTTCCTCTTGACTTCAGTCTGGTTTGCCCTTCAACCATGATGCAGGGAGTGTGTTTGGCCCCAAAGAATTTACAGTCCTAAAGCATAGTGAGCTCAGAGTGTTACTGAAAGTCGTAACCAAGAAAACTCTCTAAACCAAATGATATTTTAGAAAAAGGTACATAAATGTATTTTAAATTAAGAGGAAAATAAAAGGAAAAAACAAAACAAAAAACCCCAACAGGTTTATGTGTACTTGTACATAGGAAAGAGGCTAAAATTGAATCAAACACATTGCTCCTCAAACAAAGTTTAAAGAAATCAGAAAAGTTTCACTAAAGTGTTGAATTATCTAATGGACTAATAATAATTAACTAGCTAAGATTATGCCTGGATTGTAGCTAGATCTATGATTCCAGTAGGTATGAACATAAGAAAGCCATTTTAAACTGACTAGCTTGGGTATCAGTAGTGCTGCACCTGTTGCAAAACAAGATACTTGAAAAACACATCCAGGACGACAGATGAATGCTGCAGCGGCTGGTTCATGTTGTCTCTCACTTGCTGCAGCTACAGTCTTGGCAGTGCTCGAACTAGCCAAGGAAATGCAGCTCAGTTACTCCCATCTAGAGCAGGCCAAATACTTCCACAGCCACAGACAAGAATTTTCCCCAGAGGATTTGTTATATGTAACTGCAGGACATACAATGTCTAATTTTCAGAGTTTACATGCATCATGTCTTTACATGTTGTCTCTTTTCTCTTATTTTTTTTTAAATGAAAACCAAACAAAAATATAAAACCCCACCAAGCTGCTGTAATTTATTCATATATTTTGGGTTTTTTCACTTTATACTGCTGCTAACTCCATGTTACTATCTACTGAGTTCTAATGAATGATGCAGGTGTAATTGCATCCAGTTTTCCTCAATCTGCAATAAAAGTTTGTCAGTTTGTACCATCTTTAGTGAGCAGCTGGGAGCCCCTGTGCATAATTGGGTTTGAGCAGGAGTGGTTGGTGCAGAGTGGTGACAAGGGCAGGTGCCTTTGGGAAGGCAGGTGGGGCTCATTAGGAATTTAAACAGTCTGTCAGAGTCTGTCACCATTGGCTGTCTCTTAATTTGAATTAGGCAGTAAATTCATGTTAATGAGAAAGAAAGGGTTATATGGTTGTGGGTTCCCCCCCCCCCCCCCCCCCCCCCTTGATTTACAGGAGCTATGGGGAATGCAATGAGCCTCCCAGAGGAAGTGGAAGAAGACAACGCATGCACAGTAAAGAGCTATCAGGTAAGCAAGAGCTGCACGTGTTGATCTTCCCTGGCTATTGCAATGTTGAAATCCTATGATGTACGCAGTCCTAAGAACTGTATTATTTGCTATTTCAGACTCTATCTGAATCTCCTGGCAATATTAAAAATGGATCTGTTGCATTTGTTCAGGCTCGTTCTGCAATGAATGGTGAAGGTATGTACTGGGAAAGGGTAGCATATTTGCACTTCTTTTGCAACCAGACAGGCAGAAAGAGGTTTATGCTGGAGCAACAATAAATATTGGTGTATGGTATCAAATCAAAAGATGAACCTATGTTTCAGCTCTTGTGAATCACTAGTGTGGTTTTTCAGAAGCTTGAAAGTTTAAACATAACAAAGAGTAAAATAGGAAAATATTTCTCAAGTTCTTTGGAAGCTGTTTGTTCAATTGTTCTGAGAATTTAGTTCTGCTACTGGTCCACAAAAAGTGGCTTTATAGAGTGAAGATTTTGATTAGCCTGAAGTATTATAGGGCAGGAGTCTTTTGGCACTGGTCTCTCAGGGTGCTGCACAAACCTCAGGGTGTCCTGCGATAAACTACATCTGTATGGGCTCTGGTGGAAATAGTGCCTCTAACAAGCCTTTGAGGAATCATTGCTACAAGGAGCACAAATTGGGGTTCTTGAAAAGAGGTTGTAGTGAGGTAGGTGTTGTTCTTTTATCCCATGGAACAAGCAGTAAGACAAGAGCAAATGGCCTCAAGTTGCACCAGGGGAAGTCTAGATTGGATATTAGGAAAAATTTCTTCACTGAAAGGGTTGTCAGGCATTGGAACAGGCTGCCCAGGGAAGTGGCGGAGTCACCATCCCTGGAGGGATTCAAAAGACATGTAGGTGTGGTGCTTAGGGACATGGTTTAGTAGTGGACTTGACAGTGTTAGGTTCACTGTTGGACTTGATCTTAAATGTCTCTTCCAACCTAAACGATTCTATGATTCTATAATGCAGCAACGGTACCAATGCAAGGATCAGTGGCCTGTTAGTGAGGTTTTGTGTCTGGAGGTACACAATGAAATGTTGTTTTGCAGACTGGAATAAGAGAGCAGTTCATATTTTGGAAGGGAGAACAAATTGTCTTTAAATAATGTCATGGCATCCCTGCTGCTAGCAGGGAGTTACCAGGTGATGGCATTGTGCTTAGATGCCGGATTGAAATATCCACTGGTGTGGAAACTGATAGTCTGGAGGGGGATGTAGGAGACCAGAGAAAAAAAAAGGGGGACTGAATGCATTGGAAGAAAATAAACAGGCTAGAAACTAAATTTGAGCTTTAAAATATTCCCCAGCTACTATGGAGGAGTAACCTTTGTAAGGCTAATGTTTGTGCTGTTGATTAGGCTGCTTTGCTTTGACAAACCTGTTCTCTCATCACAGTGGGCACAACTCAAGGACTATACAGAAACTGGGCTGTTATATGAAGAACCGCTATAATATTCTGTTTATAAAAGAAATCAACAGTGTACCCTAGACTTGAGGGTCTATCCCCAAATTGCCTAACAGTGATGCCTAAAGACAGGCAGGCTAGAACAGTACAAAGCTTTGCAGAAATGGAGTATCTTGGGATGGATAGAGGAGGTGAGACAATAATGGGCCAGAAAAATGACTACTGTATTGCTTCAGGTAATGCTGGTCTGCTTACCAAAGAGCTTAGTGTGTCTCACTTGACGAAGGTTTGTAAGGATCTTGAGGAAGGCATTTCAAGGGACACCTGTGGCTGGCACAACAGGAGTTCACCCTGCTGATCTGCAACTTTAGCTACATGACTCTGAGGACTACTTACCAAGTGCCTCAGGTTGTTACAATATTGAGCATAGGAAATGGTGATGGAATCATGCAAGCCCAAAAGAAATGTATTAGTGTAAGTAATCTAAAGCCAAGAGTGATATTGATTAAAGTGACAAAGCGAAAAAGAAGAGAGTAGGAAACTTTGGGGGAGGACTTCTTCTAGTGACTGCAATAGGACGAATACATTCTTTTGAAACATTCTGCATGCACTCAGCCTTCTGGGGTGTTCTGAGCAATTTGAGTAATAAAAGAAAAATTTGCAAAATTCTTTGCAAGCTGGTTACAAAATATGAAATAAAACTAAAAATAAAATAAACTCCAGGTCCTAGCTACATGTTCTCATCCACAAGATTGTAAAGTCTTAGAAACCACCTCTACATTTTTTTGTGAAACCATGTTTCTGATTCTCTCAGTAGCAATTTCAACAAATGATATAATAAAAATGTGAGTGCTTTTTCGTTCATCTAAACATTTCCATCTTGTTCTGTGATTTCTGGTCCTGTGTTCTTGAGTAGATGCATTGCTTTGAAGTCAAAGATATCAAAGAATTATTTGTTAACAATGAGATATGTATAGGGATATTTTTTCTGTCCTGTTTGTCATTTAGAAAAAGTGATTGGCTGGGAAAAGTACCATCAAGTGGTAGGCATTATACCTGCAGCAATATTGTTACAAAACAATTGCCTCTGGACCTGAGGTTTTGCAGCAAAATGCCACTTCTGATCCTAAGCTGGGCCTTAGTGGTATCTTTCATATATAGAAACCTACCTTGCTCTCATTTTAGAGATAGCAGACCTTCTTGAAAAGAGCAGAGTATGTCTAATCTGTAGTGAGATCTTAGTAAACAAAAGTTAATTGTGTCAACTGCCTGTGTTTGAATTTTAGAGAATTTAGAGTATAGCACAGTAATTTATAGAGCTAGATAAGTGACAGCTGGGAATGCAGCATGGCTGACAACACTATTACCAAGAGGTCAGTCCTGTTTACCAGAATTTATTCAAACTGTGTCACAAGACTGACGTTGTAACCCTGACCACCTCTCTCCCGTTACAAGATATATTAGATATTACTCAACTACTGCCAGGGTAACAAGAGCATGGTGGGGGGGGATAGCGACTTGTTTCTCTTAAAAAAAAATGAAATAAAATTGATATGCCCCTCTTAAGTATAAACTGTGGGTGCTGGTGTAGAAGTTGAATAGTTGGTGGCAGTATGGGTAAATCACTACTTGGTAAGTGCATCCCACTTCAGACCTATTTGGATGGTGTTCACAGCAGGACAGCAACTGGGGTTTCGACTGATCACATCAGTGGCAGGCTGGACCCTGGTCTCACCATGGAAAGGTGCCTGTCAGCAGTCGAGACCCACTTCCAGTGTTGACACCTTGAAAATCTGGTGTGAACTACATGGCCTGAGCATTAAAAATTTGGTTCCAAGCAGTTTTGAACAGTTATCTCCACATATTCATGGGTAATTGCTCTCATCCAGAGAGATGTGTGTCTCATCACTTTTCAGCACCTCATTAATTTCTCCTTCCACCTTTTGTAGGCTTTGGAGCCCTTTTGAGCAGCATTTAGGCAGCACTCATTTGCAGCAGTGTTGCTTCAGTTCACATCTCTGCGGATTCAGCTATGTTAATTTTACCAGTGTTATCCTTGCATTGAATTTCTGTTTTCAGAATACAATAAAAACCAATAATTCTCTCTAACCTCTGTAAGGAAAGAAAATATTTTATTATTCATCATTAAGAGAACCCTCTGAGCCTGTTACATCCAGCTGAAAAATCTAGGCTTAGACAAAAATAATCAAAGACTGGTATGGCAATAAGCAGATGGTACTGACTACAGTTCAGAATCTCTGTTCCATGGCTAATTTCCTAATGCCATCTAGCTATAATAAGTCACTTTAAATGGCTGCCTACTAGAAAATAAAAGCCTGTAGCTGTGTGTTTCTGCTGGTGTAAACCAGCAGAGTTCTGGGAAGTAAATAAAAGCCAGATGATTTACACTGACTGAAGACCTAGAAAATAAGTGTACATTTTGCTCTTAATATAAAATGAAGCATATGGCATTGTTTTACTTAAATGGATTACCTAATTAATGTAATTACTAAATCAGTTTAAGTAGCAAGTCAAAAAATCAGACTGTCTTGTGCTGATATTACTTGTATTAACTTTATTAATGTTTAAAAATCAGTTAAAATCATTAACTATTTAGATACCACTGAAATCTCACTGGTTTGTGTAATGTAATCAAGATCTTGGTGAAATAAAAGTGCAAGTGTTGTTTGGAGATAGAAGTTATTCCTACAGAAAATGTAGTTGATAGTATTTCTAGAATTAAATAATGCAAGAAATAATACTGTAATCTATTTTATGGTCATAAAGCAAGCACTTCTGGAGAAAATAAAAGGGCTGCAAGAAAGGCAAATGAAGCAAGAGGATTTTATTAGTAGTGTTAGAGGTATGTTTGTGGTCTTTGTCTTGTTAGTTTGAATTTCTGTGATTGCCAGTGATCTGACCATGTGCTGTGCATTAAATGGTATAGTTGATAAATGAGTCTATGAAATCTATATCTGTTAATATAATGAAAAAAGAATCCAGAGAGTTAACTTAATATGACCAGAGGAAGTAACATTATTCGGAACCATCTGCTTCACATCTGGGTGAGCAGATTGGTGACTGGTTCCCTGCATTTGCTGCTTCTGCTCAAACAGGCTGACAGATGTGTGGGATTATGGATTCTTTCCATGACTTGCCTTTCCTGCTCCTATTGACTATCAGGGCTGCAGACATTGCACAGAGTGCTAGCATCCACCTTCTACTGTAATGCCATTTAAATAGTAGTGGTGCCCTTACTGCTACTTTACAACATGTTGCTTTGCATGCAAATGGATAGCAAATTTGATCCTGACTTTTCCTGATGTTGGCTTTTTTGAACTTTAAATAATAGAAGTACTTGGTGGACAACAGGTAAAGGGAAGAAGGCCAGAATTAAAAGCTGTATATCTCTGAGATTTGTACCATATAAAGCAGAAATGTCAGGAGGACGAAATGGGAAAAAATTTGTTTGTATTTGGGTGGCAATTACATGCAGATTAAAACAATGACCTGCTCATAAAAAGAAAGATTACACAAGGAAGAAAAGTTCAGTTAAGTTTATTCCAGAGGATAAATTTGATACAGCAAATTCTGCTACTAGCTGGTATGTATCAGAAACGAGTGTATTGCAATAACTCTGTGTGCCTGTCAGGTGTGAAACACAATGCATTTTAGTTATTTTTTAAGAATGATCATTACTATTCTTGGTGCTAGCTTCTCTTCCCCCATTTCCATTAATTTCAGTAAATCTATTAGGTAAATAGCAATGCT